TAAACAGACATGTCATGAGGCCTACCCCAAAAGGATACTCTGTGTTCATGCGGCCAGTAGTCCACGTTATTACGCTTGTCAGGATGTGATTAACACAACTGTCAACTAAGCCTGGCCGAAAACTACCCCTATCGACTTTGACCGACTTTTCCGACCCCAGCATTACCTTTATCGCGATTTTATCACAGTATACACGACGAGAGGCATTGTTGTTGTCCTGGCTTTGTGCTACAGGACCTCTTGTTTATGGCTCTAGTTATGGCGGGTGTTAATGGCTCGTTTGCGTGCCCCACCGCTAGTTGTTTTGGCCTTGCCTTGGGCCTGGCTTTACACAGAAAAAACATTTCCGAAATAAGGCCATCAATATGGTAATACATTCCTAAAGAAATCACTCGTATACCTTTGTCGCAAAGTCCTTTTCCCCTTTGGTATGGACTACTCTCTTTTTAAACTATTACGTTTAAAGAATTTAATACAATATTATATATAAATGATATCAAGAGGGTTTGTATTTCGATTTCAATCAGTTTGTTATCAAACATTAATTTATTTTTTCTCTCTGTGGATTGGGCTGTTCAATTTGTAACTAATACAATTGTCACTCACATATCTCTGACATCTGGTGGATTGCGTTCTTCGAGCCCATTCCCAGCTTTGTAGTATACATATATACCATCCGAAGCACCTAAAGTTGGGAGCAGCCGCCATCACTCACCGCAATTGTGTTGTGTGACAAGTGAATTTGTCACTGGCTGCTCAAGTTGAAACAAAGCCAAGGTCGGGCAACAAACAGCTAATGGCTTGTATTTTGCCCGGGAAAAAGCCTTTTGGAGTCGGGGTAAATTTGAATTTATGTCCGAGGGGGGCTGGCCAGGGGGAAATACTTTCATTTGGAGCTGCCACAAAGCATTTCCGCCTTGTGGCACACACATAATGCTGAATCTGAGTGGCATTCGCCGGTGTGTTCCCGTCATATGCGAGTTTCTGACAATGAATGATGTCTTGTATGGACCTTGGTCAACACCAGGAGACACTGCCGGCGATAACGCATGTGGCAGTCAGACAATCGTGATGGATAGCCACATATTAGCTGTCTAATGCATACTGCAATTACAAAATATGGTGGTCTATTAGTTAATAGCCTCCGGGAGTGTGTTTGCTGTAAATAATCATATACTAATGGCCCATTTGGATGCTGTTTAGCTAATTGCCACATATCTTATCTTGAGATGCCGCAAAAGATACTATTCATAGGTTATTAAAATAGTTTCACAGAAGAACATCTACAAAACGATAGCTATGTTAAAATATCTAATATTGCAGGCATAAATAAAATAAGAAATTGGAAATAGTTTTCATTAACACACTATAAAACTAAAAGAAAAAATAAAAAACGAATGTATTCCAAAGTTGCCTCCTGTGAGGGTTGAACTCACGGCCTTTGGTTTACGAGACCAACGCTCTACCACTGAGCTAAAGAGGCTATGCCAAGAGCGCCGCCAAATGTCTATAGGAGCCAACGCTCAGAGAGTCGGGGAAAGCAAGGAGAGATAACAACCAATGAGAAAGAGATAGTGCGACAGGGATGAAAGTGAGAAGATCGTGACTCATGTTATGGCAATTAATTAATATGGAAGCAACAGTTTGTGGTACAACTATTAATTAGCACTAATAACTATAAGTATTAACTTAATGCAATAATTAAGAATTCATTACGTTTTATATATTTACTAACTAAATGTTATTAGTTGTTTAATATTCCCAGGTGGCAAGAGAAGATACCGAACAAGAAAATCTTTAAAGATGAGGAAAACAAACAAGAATTCTTCAATTACTTCTCTTTTAATTTAAATGCAATTTACGGAAAGTAAATATTTCTAATTACGTTGTACTCAGAAATGAAATCTAACAACTCGGAATTTATAAATTAAATTCCTGCCACTGAGCATGCGCTCATTCGTCGCTCTCTCCACTTTCTCACTCCCTCCTTTCTCTCGGCGTTAGTTTCGTATGTGCCATTGGGCGGCCGCCAACACGTAGCCTCTTTAGCTCAGTGGTAGAGCGTTGGTCTCGTAAACCAAAGGCCGTGAGTTCAACCCTCACAGGAGGCATCTTTGGAATTGTAAATTTTTATTTTTTATTTGTATTTATTTATATAGTTTTCATTCTTTTTTACAGTTTTATAGTGTGTTGATATAGTATTATGCATTTTCATCGCCTTGGTATGCAAGGGGAACCCCATGGTTGATTGTTAGGGGCCTGGCATTACGATTGGCGAAGGAGAAAATTGCGTGAAAGCCATAACTAGTTACGTTGCTCTTCTTGGCCTCAAGTGTTATTTTATGACTGGCGTACTAACGCACACACTGCACACTGGCCGGGCGCACGTGTAGGCCTTTAAAACTAACGGCAAATACGAGTTGTAAATAGGGTTTCGGGGTCTGTATGGTGAATGATGCGGTCATTATGGCCATGTAGCTGGGTGGGAAGCTGGGCGGACGAACATATGTGGACGTGCAATCATTATATACTCTCCCTAGTACATATGTACATACTTACTTCGGACCCCACATTTGTGTACGCGCCTCTGGTTTGTTTGTGTTTTGGCCAATATTAGGCAAAATGTTTGTGTCGGCATAAAAGACGGAAATAAAAGTAAATTTAAGCAAATTGCAAACATGGCAGGCAACCAATACGACGCACAGAACTTGGACTAAACTTATCTTAATTACAATTATCGTGCCTCATTTCAGATAAGGTTAAATCAATAAGCCTATTAAGTGGTCGCACTTAATTTATTGCGAATTTGGTTTATCTCTGGCCAATAAAACTAGCATGGCCATCCAGTGAATGGTCAAAGCACATTCTGTCCTGGCCTAATGAAGAGCTGGTTGGTTGTTTCTGCTTGGATTTAAAGGATATGAATCAAATACTTAAGGATATGAATAAAATACTTTAAGGTATTCCAGGTCTAAGTGCTGAGCATAAATTTTAGAGTCAAGAGTCTTGAAATTTCCTCTGATTTTTAATTACTCGAGGTTTCGGTAGGTCGAGAGTTCATTGGTTTTGGTAATTATCCAAAAGTTTGATACTTACCGGAGGGCCAGGGAAATACATATTTCGGTAGGCTTTCAACCTGGTTTAAATAACCCTTAATTTAATACTCACGTACACTCAGAGCCTCAGAGCTATGGTAATTAATGAGTGCCCCGACGAAGTATGCCACACGTTTTATGCGGCGCCGCAATAAAGTTAACCACAAGGCAAGTTAAGCCACAAAAGCTCCAAAGTGCTGGCATATTCGTCACTAAATGAGATGCCATATTGGGGGCAGCTTTAAATCTCGCCACGACCTATGTTAAATTCGTATTTATGAATTAATAAGACACGCAGATGACACTGCCGCCGGTGACGCCGAGTCCTTGTGCCTTTTGTTGTTGGACGGCCATAGCCTCCAGCCGTCGTCTCCTTCTCAAGTTAAGACTAATTGAAAATGGCAGGGTGCCGCCTTTTCTTCTGTCACTGAGCACCGGGGGAAATGTTAATCAACGGGGCCAACTTGGCAATGGCAAAATCAAATCAAGGTAATTTACCGTAAGAGACAAAAAGGCATCATTTCATTTTCCCGGCTCAGAAATTGACAACATATCCGCCGCCTTTTTCCTTTATGGGTGCGTGTGTGTGGGGGCTTGGGGTGGGGTGCAGAGAGGAAAAGGCTTTAAAAGCATATAATTTAAGGATCCTTAAAATATTTCAAAGAATAAATATGTGGTATCTAATAAAAAATGTTCCCTTTTTATTCCCTTGAAGGGTATTCCAATTTTATACATTATAAATAACATCTCCTTGATTTTATATACATTTTATTATTATTTATTATTTATTATTAGTTCTCAAACTTCTGTTTTTTCCAGTGCAGCGAAGTATTTGCTGTGTAATTTATATGCGCACAGCAGATACCAAAATTCACCGTGGAGTTGGCTCTTGCTATCTTACCTCATTCTGGACCCGCAATTTGCATATTGTGTACATCTTGAGTTCGCACAGTCAATAACCACCACCCCATATACCCGGCTCGTCCGTCCTTCGTCCTTCACCCAGATACTTTGGCCATAAAGAGATGGGGGAAAAAAATCCTGGCTTGTTGCTTAGTATGCAGGTGGCATGTCGGCTCATCTCGGGGCGAAGCTCGTGTTTCGGGCCAGGCTTTTAGGCAGTGCATTTCCGATTGGCGCCAACTCTCGTTTCCCTTTTATTGGTATACCTTTTCTGAGGCTCTCAAGCACACCCTTCAACACGCACAACACATACACACACACACACTCACAGCGCATACACAAAGAGGGAAATTGCGAAAAACAAGAAAGCATTTTCCCTTTTAATTTCAGCATTTCTCAGGCGCCCCCGCACCCAAGTTGTGTTTGTTGCTGCCAGGAACTTACTGCCGAGCAGAATGACTGTTGCCTGCTTTGAATTTAAACAAATGAGGAATTGTTGCTGCCGCTTTAATGGTCGCCTTCATTCATCTCCCGGCTTTCAGCCATTTATATACGTTTTTGTTCTAGCCAACTTTTGAGCCTGATGTTTGCACCGCGCTCCCCCGCAAAAGTTTTGTTTGCCATTGTTTGTCCTCATATTTTTGTTGGCTATGCCTGGGCTGGTTGGCTGACTGGCTGGCTGGGTTGTTTATTTTATTTTCAATGTATATTTGATTCCTTTATGATTGTGTTTGCATTTTTTGTTTTTATTTGTTTAGCCGTCAATTTTAATGAGCTGTCGCGAGTTGAGAGCATTCAGTTCATAAATTTTATATGGCGCTATCAATGTCAGAGAATTGGGCCCGAGAAAAAGATAATTTATTCATTGGATTTAATAATGCAGCAGCGAAATGCTGTGCGCCGCCCGAATGTTCTATTAATTAGGGGCAAACCTTAAAAAGGAGAGCTATCCTGCTCACCTGCTAACCCACTCACCTGCGTCCCCAATCAAATACCTGAGTGTGGCTTTTGGGTTTCTTTAATTTATTGCTGGGTTTTCGCTTTCCGCAAGTTGTACCTCTTTACATACATATATATGTTTGCTTAGTCGCACTTTGATAGGCTATTTTAGCAGTTTTACTTTTGCGCTTCTCTAAATACATTTTACATTTCGTTTAGTTAATTTAAATTAGTTTCAGTTTAATTTAATTAATGATACAATACCTTCGCCACTGCCGTCTCCGTTCGGATTCAATTACATATAATACTAAACATTTATAAGATACTTTCAATATCGACAATTGTTTTAATATTTAATTAGGTATATAAAGATATATGTATATATCGATTCATATATATTATCTGTGTAAGAGACCGGAGTCAGTATATAATGGAGTTTAATAGTTTTTTTTTCCGCGTTATTGTTGATGACTACATATGCAACTCGCCTCTTTACACACGATTTAAGGAATTTATAGTTTTATACAATGTGTTCTCGTGTATTTCATGAGTGTTTTGTATCGGCATTTTCATTTCAGATTTCCCACAATCCTAGTGCCGTTTTATGCAATATAAATGTTCGAGTTCGTGTTCGCGGACACGGACACGGATACGGACACGGATTCAATAACAAACCTGCGGAAATGTGGAAAATGCGATGCCAGATATGTCAGCGAAAAACGTTTCAATGAATCCGCTCCCAATGCGAACAAAAAATCAATAATAACAGAGCTCTAAAGTTCAGCAAATTTAGTTTTGTATGTGTCGAGTTTTTGGAAGTCCTTGTGACCATTTGGTTTTTGGCATTTCTCATTACAGCTCTCACTAAAAAATCGGAATCGAATTCAGGTAGTTTTCTCGCCCTTTGCATTGACAAATGATGAGTGTGAGTGAGATTGTTAGTGAGTGGGGAATATGAATGGTAATTGCTGCACGGGTTGAACTATTTTCTATTAAATCTTGTAGAGTTTTTAGGACCAGATTTTATCGCTCTCAAAAACTATCTTGCCAAATGTGGCGGTCATAAATGTATTTCTGCCTTGTCAGAGACTCAAGAGTTTTTTGCAAAAGGGCATATCTTATGACAGCCGCTGTTGTTTGTATAGTAATGTATTTCTAATATCGATTTGGGTTCGAGTTTTATGGATTGCGGGCTTATATATCCCGGCCACCTGCTGTCTGCCGCTTCCTATTTTCTACATTTATGTATATTCTTTACTTCAAGTTTCGACTTTTATAAGACTAATAAAACTTTAAACGTGGCATCGCTGCCTTGCCCCTACTGGAGAGCTTGAGTTTGGTTGCTTGTGGTATCTGCTGCTACAGTATTTCGTTAGTTTAGTTGTTTTTTCAAAGAGTAACCCGTATTTCAAATTGTTCAGTGTGATTTTAGTGTGATTGATTGACCACAGAATAAGTGTTTATCCATCTTGGTCTTGGTGGAGGTCTCCCATTTGTAGTTTCTCTCTTGCTTAATTCGTTTGAATATATTTCATCGATTCGGATCTGTTTAGTGTTCTCCACTGCCTCATGTTTACTCTGCTCTGGGGCTAATAAAATGTTCGCTTTGTTTTAGTTACCCGCTCTGGCCAATTTGTTTTCACTTGTTTGTCAGCTAGTAAATCCGAATTCGTCTTCTATTCATCAAAGAGTCCGCCTGGAATATCCAATTTGATGGCCCCCCAGATTTATAGTTTAACTCGCAGCGCAAAGTATTCAATTAGTGGGAAAATGCAACGGGGGAGAAGTCAAATTAGCAGATGTTTATGTGCTCTGCTCTGGCCTCATTAGGTTATCTAAGTCAACAACAATTTTCTAGACCTTGTGTGGTGCGGATTGTACATTTAAAATGTTCCCATTTGTATATTGAGAGAGGTGGGTTTATAACTCAAACCGTTGTATTCTGCGCGACCTCCTGATCCCGGCTGGATCCCGTAGAGTACTTGGAACACTGAACGAAACATGGGGATACAGAGCTGGATTGGGAGGTGGTTGTGGTGGTGGTGGGTGGGTGGGTGGTTGTTGTGGTCTCGAGTGCTTCCCCTGCGGCCTTAATCCCGGATGAAGACGAACTCGTTGTAGTGATTCCAGCGATTCTCCTCCGTGTCCACGCCCGGCTTGGGCTCCGCCGCAGATCCAGCGGTGCCCGATCCACAGCTGCCGGCCATGCGGTATCCATGATCGTGCAGATTGTCGAAGGCCTGCTCAATAAAGCAGTGCTTCAGGAAGAAACGCGAGGTGTAGCGGTCCGGGCCGCCATGATCCGGATCCCGGGACTCGTTCAGCGTGTCGCCGAAGACCTCGCGGCACTGGGCCACACGGCCGCAGACCAGGATGCGCGACAGTTTCCGGAACTTGACGTCGGCCAGTCCGTCCTTGCCGAACTGGAAGCTGCCACGGTAGCCGATCGTGATGCAGCCTGGCGGTCGGGCATCCCGTTCACCACGGATGCTCTCCAGCATGGCCGTTAGCTTGAAGTGCTCCGCCTCGCGAAGCAGCCGCTGGCGTTCGCGGAATCCCTCCGGCAGATGCAGTGCCTTGTCGCGCAGGAAGTCCAGGATGTAGCGGAAGAGGACACCGTCGCGGTCCAGGAAGTAGCGACCCTTGCTGTCCTTGGCCAGGGAATCGCGCCCCTCGCCAAAAAGCTCGGCCAGCAGCGTGCTCTTGTCCTGCAGCAGCGTGGCCAGCGTGGTGGTGTAGCTCACGCCGCCGACATTCAGCTCGATGATTTCCGGCATGCCGCTTTCGCTTTGGATATCCTCAACGATTAGTTAATCTACACACATATGGAGTTGGCCAGGCACACACGGACACCGGACACCGGACACTGGACACTGGACACTCGCGACACTCTGGTGCAATCACGGACCACAACTACTTGGGTTTGTTTACAGCGCTTCTCTTTCGACTTTGTCCCGCCAAACGCGTCCGCACTCGCTGAGGTCTCGTTTCGAACTGTGGAGCTGCGGGAGCTGGGTCTCTTGGCCTGGCCAAAAGGAAGCGCTTTTCACTCGCCCGTTGGTGTACATTTGTGTGTATGCATTGGGGAATGAGAACACACGCGCGCGAGAGAGAACGCTCTCCTGCTCTGTGGCCTGCGCACACGTTGCCTTTGTTTTGATATTTGATATTATTGTTTAACAAGTGGTTAAATTTCAAAAATGTGCACGCATATTTCTGGCATATGCGCTACAGAAGGGTTGCTAGCCGCTCTTTTGCCCGCATGTTATTAATTTGATGAGGGTCCGCAGTGCGTATACGTAATGTCCAATATGCTGGATTACTCGGTGGGCTAATGCGAATGATGCTGCTTAAATTGTATTCGAATTGCCAGTGTGATGGGAGGGTGTAAGGACATTAGCATTCAGCTGGCGTAAAGTGTGTTCATTTTTCGGGCAAAGTTCGCAGCCATGTCACAGCAAATTATGGCACATGGCGCATACTTTAAGGCGTCGCACATACTTTATGCCCTGGCATGCCAACTATCCAGCGGTTTTTCCCCCTCCCCCCCTATATTTTCAATGGGGACAGGGGGGCATGCTTCCGAGTGGCAACAGGCGCTGACAATTTGACACCGTGACACTGACATTAACAGGCCGCAGCAGGCACTGACAGTGGCAGTGGCCCTGCAAATGCAACTGGTTGGGCCAACTCGGCCAGTTTTTGGCCCTGTGCCAAATGGGCCACTCTCCGCAGGGCTCGCAGGGCCACAGCAGACTGCCTGGCAGCTCACCTGTTTGCTCTTGCTCCTCCTGCCGTGCTCGCCGTTAACATTCCATGGAATATATCCTGCGTGCGACTCGCTGCAATTGAATCAACAACAACAGCAGCAGGCAATAGCGAATACGCAGCATTTTGGCCTACTCTCTTTCTCTCTCCCTCTCTCTCTGTCTCTCTTCATCCCAGTTAGCCCTTTGACATGGTCGAGAGGCGTTGGAGATACACACAAGGAGCACAGGCAGAGAAAAATATGATTATAAGTTGGGTTTCTGTTAAATAAAAATAAATATCCTAGCAACAAACTGTAGAAAACTTCAAGGCATTGCATAAACAATTCGAACTTTTTCTGCGTAGCTTCATAAATGAATTTATAATTTCAAATAAAAACTCCTTTCTAGTTAACTAGTTAACTTAACTCTAAAAAGCGGAAATTTGTATATCCTTAAAGGATAATGAGGTCGAATCTGCGATCGATCATAACTAAGCCAAAAATGCATAATTTCGATTCGGAAAGCTTTTCTGTGCTAGTTTTTATTGGGTTAACAAATCTGTATACTTAGTTTGAAATTAAATTTTTTATAAATTTTTGACAATTTTAATGATGTAACCCCTTTTAAAATTTTGAAATTTTGGAAAATGTTGAAAAAATTAAATTTGGTCCGGACATAGCTAGATTGATTCAGCTGTTAATGCTGATCAAAACTATATATGGTTTATAGGGTCGGAAATGACTCCTTCACCGACTGAAATCATACTAACCTGCAAGGGTATAAAAAAAATGTTGAAAATTTTCTTATATTCAATAAAAACCATGGATCCTTAGGTTACATGCTACAGATTTATTTTAATTGTAAAATTGATACTACATTAAATTACTTGGTTTAATATTACTATTAATAGTATTAGTATGAAACCAAGAAATTCAAAAAAGTATTAATTATCAACAGAATCAATAAAAATAACATTTAAAAAAGATAATGAATGGCTAAAGAAATCAAACATATATTTCGGTATAACTTATACCTTTTTCTCCTTGTGTAAAAGCCTTCGGCTAATTGCAATGAAAGCTTGGCAACCTACAGTCTGTGTGGTGTGGGCTTTTAGAGCGTTCAACTTGCACAAACCCTTTGCTTTGGCTTCGCTTGCTTACTCCACTCACTTCCGTTTCCGGCGGCGGTTTTCCCAACGCCTCCTCCTGTCTCCTCCCTCCGTCTCACTATCCGGCTAATGCTGGTGTTCCTTATCAGAAGCAGGGCCTACTTCCATCCCTTGAGGCAGTCGCACCACTCGCAGCCATGAAATTGTGGTTTTTGGCACGCATTAAGATGGCGCAACACTTTACGCGCCATTACGCGATGCCTGCATCTGTGTGCGAACTTGTGGCGTATGTGTGTGTGGAGTGTGTGGTGTATGGGGTGTTAGGTGGCCAGGCTCTCTTGTGGCTTTCATGGGTGGCATTCTGTCCATTCCGCCATTCCGGAGGTGGTGCCGTGAATGCTGCCTGTTTGTCTGGCTGACTGGCGCGATTCAAATTGATTTTGTCTGGCGGTAAGACACCCGCACAACCTCACACCCGCACACACCACACTCTGGCATCCGTGTGTATCTATGCGCTGGAGCACTTTGTTTTGACAACACGCCAAATTGTCGTCCCTCACTTAGCCAGAGCCGTTTGCATGCTATTTCTGGGTTTGTTTGCATGTTTACCTTTCGAGACTGTCAGTTTCTGGTTTCCCTCTTGGGGAAAAAAGGCGTCTTTTAAGGGGACGGTAGGGGTTGACTAAGCCGACTAAGCGACAAAGCGTGAAAGGAGAAAGCCCTTCCAGGCGTTGGCCTTTTCAGGCTCACTCTCTCACAGGTCTGTTATGACCTCGTTGAAGCCATTTGGCAGTCCCAAAAATAAACGCTCACATTCCTCACGGCCACGAGTGTCAATCAAATTTCCAGTGCAAATTTTGCATTTGATTTCCCCCCAATAAATGTGGCGCACTGGCGGCATTGGCTGAGCAAACAGAATTGGCATGCCCCAGAACTTAAAACCAAAACAAATCAAATCAAATGAAATCAGAATTGGTTGAGTCAACAAATCTTTTTCTCCTTAGGAGGGGTTTTTAAAAATATAAACTGAACGTTTATAAGCTTATCATTGGAAATGCCAAGGACACTTTATATTCTTAGCTTAGTGTCTACAGATCGTAGATCATAAAGAGTTTAAATGAATACATTTTTCTTGTACTGATTCAATACGCAATATTTGTATTGAATACAAAAGACTGACATATTTTGTAAATGGATTACTTTAAAGGACTTAAAATATTATTTAGTTATGTGTGCATAGAGAGTTAATCCTTACTAAATTAAATCACTCCCCTTTAATATTTTAAAATAATTATAAGCCATGAAATGTTTGCCTGCAAACTCGGCTCATAGATTGCCACATTGTTCAAATGCGTGCCTAAAATGAATTTGTCGCGGGGCTTCTACTAATTGCCACTAGTTAAAGGCAGCTCAAGGACCTGGTCTAGCACTTATGCAAATGCATATAGTGTCCGTGTGGGTAAGTACATATAACTACTGGTATTCGTATGCGTGTGCATAATGCCAGCGATTTTACCAGCTTAAAATGCACGCTCAGGCATGCGGCGAGTGCCTCTGCATCTGCATCTGCTTCTGCATCTGTAGCTGCGTATCCTCAAGATACATTGACGCCGGCACACGGTTATGTAAATGCAAATGCGAGCGCCTAGCTGCTGGGCAATTTAACACCATACGGGTGACGAACTGTGAGGCTGGTGTAGTAGTGTAGAATACCCTAACTTTTACTCATTTCGATAAGAAGAATTTAAGAATTTATTTCAAGGATAAATATATATTTTTAAGAGTAGTCAGAATCCTCACAGATTTCTTGCATTGCAACATAGTTAACTCTTAAAAGTTTTCCAATTTACACTCTTACTTTTTATTGTACATTAAAAACTATGTAACTTAATGACTTTAAATCCCAGCGTCCTTCACTCAAGCACTGGCTTAAGTTCGAGTTGTCAAGCGATCAGGGAATTCTACGAGCAGGCAGGCAGGACTTAAGGTCGTTAATTTTAAATGCGAAGCTCGGGGATAAATGCATCCTGGGCTGCAGCCAAGCCAGGTGGCCCGATGTTGACGGAGACGTTGATTTTATTCACTGCTCACAGCAACAGTTTGCTACAAGCGAACACGCCCATTTCCATGGCATCCACAGCATACTCCTCCCACCACCTTCTCCTTCTCCTCCTTAATGGCATTGTGTGTGAAGGACATGCCCGAAAGTATGGAACACACAAAAACCTTCCGGCACGACGGCCGGGGGCTTTATGTGTGCAAGAGTTGCTTTATGTAGCAATTTTTTACATTTCAGCCTAGGCATCATTATTAAAAAAATAAGAGATGTTCGGGCGGGGTCCGCCTGACGCTTTACATGCTCTAAATGGATTATTCAAAGCCCGGCCCATAAATCGTGCTGGGCCTTCAAAAATCCACAAGTGGAGCGCACGTCCCTGGCAAGAGCAATAACAGGCACCACTACAATTTGCACCATCTGTACCAGCAACCCAGCATCCCAGCATCGCAGCTTCACAGCATCCTGGCCACCAACAGATGCCCGGCCCGGACGAAATGCAATGAATTTGTTTACAACCATAGTGGCAGACCCTCCTCCATTCCTTTTCTGCACTTATCGACGCTTGTTGCACGTCCGTGGGGCCACAACAAATTTCGCAAAAAGCTGTTTTCAATCTCTCCGACCATTGCATTCGGCTATTTTCGTTCTTGTCTTATTTTATTTATGCTCCCTGCTGTATACAGCCCCATAAAACCCCCTATTATCCGCCGGATATCTACCATTCAAGGCAACAACTTTGTGCAACACAGTTTGAAAGGGAGAGTCAGGGAAACCTTCATTCCTGAATAACTGAAATTTTCAAGAGATACTCTTTGATGATAAAAATTTTGAAATTTGAAATTGATTTATTATTTGTAAAACAACTCTTCTTATTTAAGTTGTTATCTATTTTTGAGAGTTTTTAATATCTATTTCAAGGGTCTAAGTGTAATGTCCGAATTGTTTGCTCTGCTCCAGTGTCCATTTCCATTAGCCTTCGAATTGTATGCTGTGCACGTTTTGTTGGTGTGGCGGATTTATTTTCAAGTTTCTGCACACTCGAACTTTCTGTTTGGATCCATTTCGGGGCGCCGCGTTAAATTGGCGCTAAAAAGGTGGGGCTTATCTAATTAATACGGCTGCAGAGTTTTTCCGGGCTCCAATGGAGCAGAAGTGTGATTCGATTACAGAGAGTTGCGGAAACTTTTTCGATGGCCAAACACAAGCGCTTTAATTCATAAAACAAAAGTCTTTCGCAGGGCTAAAAATATACGTGGCGAATTTATCAGCTGATCAGCAGCACCAACGCCAGTTTTTCTGTTGGCCGTCTTTTCGTGCACTTTTAGCCACTTTCATTCTCATACCCGGTCGTGTCGGACAGCCTGCAGAATTTGCAGAGAAATGCAAATTTAGTTCGGTGAACAAAGACAGCAAAGAATTCCGCATTTAATTTAAAATAATTTCAAAATTCTCAGCTCAGTCAAAAGCGTTGAAAATATTTATGAATCACTGAATACATTTCTCGGCGGCGGCAGCAAAGGCATGCGAAAGATGCAATCCTGGAGAACTAAGGCAGCCGGCAGGAGTTTTCCACTTGGCTTCACATTATTGAGTTTTCTTATGGTTTTCCTTGGATCTTGCCACGGGGAGCGGACAAATGTGGGTGAGTCAAGTGCACTTTTCACGGCATTACATAAGCAGCCAAGCAAATGCAGTGCGGCATGCAAATGTGTCATGTATTTTTATGCCGCATACGCACCGTGGGCCATCCGAGAGGGCGGCGAATTCGCTAAATAAAAATATAAACAGAAGCTGAAAAGCAAAACAAAGAGCAAAGAATCTATGTCACAAGCACTCTCCCTCTGTTGGCACTATCTTAGGACTTATTCACGAGAACACTGAACCGGATATTGAGAAGATTTTCCACCTGGCCATCAGCAAGGCAAATGAGGAAAACGAAGAGCTGCAGTTGCATGGAGTGTCCGTTGCCATTGAGCCGGGAAACTCGTTTGAAACTTCCAAGAAGCTCTGCAAGATGCTGCGGGTAAGTGTTCCTAGTTAACTTGTGGTGCCAAAAATCAAATATTCTCCACTTATTTGCAGCAAAATCTGGTGGCCGTGTTTGGGCCCACCACCAATTTGGCTGCCCGTCACGCGATGAGTATTTGCGACGCCAAGGAACTGCCCTTCCTGGACACGCGCTGGGACTTTGGGGCCCAATTGCCGACCATCAATCTGCACCCACATCCGGCCGTGTTGGCAGAGGCCCTCCGGGACATGGTGGCGGCATTGGGCTGGGAGAGCTTCACGGTTATCTACGAGTCGGGGGAGTACCTGCCCACAGTGCGGGAACTGCTCCAGATGTACGGCACGGCGGGACCCACTGTCACGGTGCGGCGTTATGAGCTGGATCTCAACGGGAACTATCGCAACGTGCTAAGGCGGATCCGCAATGCGGAGGACTTCTCCTTCGTGGTGGTGGGATCCATGGCCACGCTGCCCGAGTTCTTTAAACAGGCCCAGCAGGTGGGTCTGGTGACCAGCGACTATCGCTACATCATAGGGAACCTGGACTGGCACACCATGGACCTGGAGCCCTACCAGCATGCCGGCTCCAATATCACCGGTCTGCGTCTGGTCTCCCCCGACAGCGAGCAGGTGCAGGAGGTGGCCAAGGCCCTCTACGAGAGCGAGGAACCTTTCCAGAACGGTAAATCAAATAAGAGGACAGGACAGGACGGAAGTCCCACCTGAAGGTGTCGTGGCGTGGCCCTGGATCTAGACAATTTATGCCAATCCGAAATCCATTCGCATGAGTGAATTTAAATAATTGAATTGCACTTTCATGGCCCCGACGCGACTGGGGCCAGAAATGATAAATGACGTTATCCTTTATGACTTCCCCCCAGTGTCCTGCCCCCTGACCAACAGCATGGCCTTGGTCTACGATGGCGTTCAGCTCCTGGCCGAGACCTACAAGCATGTGAACTTCCGGCCAGTGTCCCTCAGCTGTGGCGATGACAGTGCCTGGGATAAGGGCTACACTCTTGTCAACTACATGAAGTCGGTGGGTAAAGAGAACCGTATAAAAATATATAAGTTTGTAGGGTAAAGTACTATTCACTGGGTCAGAATTAATTAGGAGCAGATATTTCATAATTTTAATATTATTTAGTATTATTAAAGGTAGTAAACTTTCTCTCTGTGTTGAAAATAACACTCACTGATTCTGAATAACTCATGCAACGAGTCTCGGTCCGCAGCTAACGCTGAATGGCCTCACGGGTCCCATTCGCTTCGACTATGAGGGCCTGCGCACGGATTTCGAGCTGGAGGTCATCGAGTTGGCGGTGTCGGGGATGCAAAAGATTGGCCAGTGGAGTGCCGAGGATGGTTTCCAGCAGGACCGGCCGGCCCCGGCGCACTCTTTGGAGCCGGATATGCGTTCGCTGGTGAACAAGAGCTTTGTCGTCATCACGGCCATTGTGAGTGGCTGAACTTTGGCCTTTGGCCTTTGCACTTTACTGGCTGACTGGGTCTATTCTTATTATCTTTGCAGAGCGAACCCTATGGCATGCTGAAGGAGACCTCCGAGAAGCTGGAGGGCAACGATCAGTTCGAGGGCTTTGGCATCGAGCTCATCGACGAGCTGTCCAAGAAACTGGGCTTTAGTTACACCTTTCGCCTTCAGGTGGACAACAAATATGGTGGAATCGACGCAAAGACGGGCGAATGGAATGGCATGTTGCGCGAGATAATGGATAATGTAAGTTTCGGGGGACATTAATCTAATCGGGATTCCCTCATCGACAGCCATTTAAATCACTGAGCCTGAGAGTCCTTTGTCTAACTTGTGTGTTTATTGATTTGCATTGTCTGCCCATAAAAGCTGTCATCATCGTTAACGCAATCGTTTACGCAGTCATAAATGGAGGACTCTTTTTTTATCATTGACTTAAATTAATAGGTTTTGTAGATTAACTTATATATAAGGAGATTCCCCAGCTTTGCTTTTCCCTTTTAAAACCTTGAACACATTCCAACTTGTTTATATAAACACAGAATATTTCACATATTATTGAATTTTGATATTTATTATTGAATTTCTGAACTGGATTTCCGAGAATAAAATATAGCTTTTAATCTTTAATAATTCCTGGAAATCCAAGGCAATTAATTTTTTTAAATGAAAGGTTATCTGAGCTTTGCATATGCATGTAAATAATAAGATTTACGATTCGATTACAAAACTATAAATAAACCTTATCATTATTTTGACTCAACGGTGCCGATTGCTTTTGTTCATCATCTTTCTTTTGCCTAAAAAGTTTATAAATGTATTGGAAGCCTAATTTACCAGCAAAAATTCCAACAATGGTGGTAACAGCTCCTCCCTGGGCTGGTACTCCGTCAACTAATTGGTTCGGAACACGTTTATATTCCGTGATGAACTGTTCAAAATCTTCTTTCTCGGCCTGGGTCAGTGGAACAGCATTTGGGTAACGACGGTAGAACTCAATCAGCTCCGGAATATTCCTCTCCAATGTGAATCGAGTTACATTGAGACCGTGAACGGTGTCCAGAATGCGACTTCGGTCGGCATCATATTGAGAATCTCCCACCGAAAATAGGACGTAAATAATCAATGTTACAAGGCAGCCGAAGTAAACCCTCATTGTGAGATCTCAGTACTGAAAAGGTGAAGCAATAGCTAAGCATTTTATAGCAAATCGGAGTGCTCCCTATCTCGATTAATGGGAATACTATATTATGTTAAAGAAAACAAAACCATTGCTGATAATTTATTTCACCAGAAAAACATTCAGTCTATTTAATTAATAATCTACAGTTCAGGTCAATGTAATTTGAGCATCTGAAAGTATTCTCTTTGAATATTTTAATTGAAATTCAGGGTCATATTTCTTTGGTAATTGTTCTTATTTACCCATCGATTTCACGACCTGTGAGCTTTTTAAATTGGAATGAATAATTTAAAGGTTGTTGCCCAACCAGGCGTATGCGCAATATTTACATATTCATTTCTATTTGTACATACATGTATGCATTCCAATGCACGCACAAGTAAATAGAGGTCATTACATAAACTTTCATATTTGATTAGCGCGCTGACATGGGAATAACTGACCTGACCATGACATCAGAGCGGGAGAGTGGCGTCGACTTTACAATACCCTTCATGAGTCTGGGTAAGTCACAGAAAACAATGTATACTTATTGAAATACTAATAATATCTTTATGATTTCTAGGAATTGCCATTCTGTTCCGTAAACCGATGAAAGAGCCTCCCAAGTTATTCTCCTTCATGTCCCCCTTCTCCGGGGAAGTCTGGCTCTGGTTGGGCCTGGCCTACATGGGCGTCTCTATTAGCATGTTCGTGCTGGGCAGGCTCTCGCCAGCGGAGTGGGATAATCCCTATCCCTGCATCGAGGAGCCCACGGAGCTGGAGAATCAGTTTAGCTTTGCCAACTGTCTGTGGTTCTCTGTAGGAGCTTTGCTCCAGCAGGGATCCGAGCTGGCCCCCAAGTAGGTATATCTTCTGGTTTTGCTGATTTACTACAATGGAATTCACTCACTTTCCAGGGCCTACTCAACGCGGGCAGTGGCCGCATCCTGGTGGTTCTTTACTCTAATCCTTGTCTCCTCATACACGGCCAATCTGGCGGCCTTTCTCACTGTGGAGACCTTGACCACTCCCATCAACAATGCCGATGACCTGTCGAAGAATAAGGGAGGTGTAAACTATGGGGCCAAGATTGGCGGCAGCACCTTTACCTTCTTCAAGGAATCCAACTATCCCACCTACCAGCGAATGTACGAATTCATGCGGGACAATCCTCAGTTCATGACCAGCTCAAATCAGGACGGCGTGGACCGTGTGGAGAACACCAACTATGCCTTTCTAATGGAGTCCACCACCATTGAGTACATCACTGAGCGGCGCTGCACGCTCACCCAAGTGGGACCGCTGCTGGATGAGAAGGGCTACGGCATAGCCATGCGGAAGAGTAGATCGCTGTCCCAAATGCTTCATAAATACAGATCCTAACACTGTTGAATTTCAGACTGGCCGTACAGGGACACGCTGAGCCAGGCCATTCTCGAGATGCAGGAGCAGGGATTGCTGACCAAGATGAAGACCAAGTGGTGGCAGGAGAAGCGCGGCGGTGGAGCCTGTTCGGTAAGTCTCGACCCTAATCCCAATCTCTGCCAGCTGGTGCATGTGTGGGTGTGTGCAGGACGCGGCCGAGGACTCTGGCGCCGTGGCATTGGAGATTAGCAACCTGGGCGGCGTCTTCCTGGTGATGGGCGTGGGCTCCTTCTTCGGCATCTTTGTCTCCCTGCTCGAAATGGTGCTGGGCGTGAAGGAGCGCAGCGATGAGAACAAGGTATCTGCCAGGACACTACCAGCCTGTCCCCAGCTTCCGATCCGATTAGCTGGCCTGCCCCAATAGCACACACACTTCCACAGACATGCACTGCGGCTTCGGTTCCGTATTCGGTTCCGGCTTGCTAACCGCGAAATCTCCGACTCTGGTCGAAAACCCCACAGGAGGTACCCGACTCGGACGCCTCCTCGCTGGGCTTTGCCAACCTAGGCGGCGTCTATCTGGTCATGTTCGTGGGCAGCTGCTTTGGCAGCATTTACGGCCTGATTAATTGCGTGGTCAGCCTCTACTTGAGTGCGCGGGAGAACAAGGTAACCATGCGGATGGGGCTCTAAAAATATGCATTATGCCCTGTCGCCTGTGTCGTGACTAAAATTGGCGAGCGGAAAGGTCGCCCTAATCTGAATAACGAACTTGATTCATCAGCTCCCCAAAAGCGACAACTCGGAGCCAAAAATACCTAACATTTCATACTAATAATAATCTCATTCAATCAGGGTTTATATCCGACAAATAATACGTGTTATTTGGTGTCGAATTAAGTCATTAATTGAGGTGATTATCACACACATTCATCTGATGTTCCCATTTTTAGTATTTTGTATATAACTGTGGTAATGTATTAACTTACCAATCATATATCGTGCCTTACCAAACATGTTTCAAAATATATTCTAACCATGCCTGATCAAAGTTAGTTGCCTGCATGATTGCTTTACATTTCTGTAATCATTTATTTTTATATCCTGTTCACTGGCTCTTTATCCTTCATCAGGTGAACTTTAAAACCGAGCTCCTTGACGAGCTGCGCTTTATTATCCAATGTTCTGGCAACACCAAGGCGGTCAAGTATCCCAAGAATTCATCACGATCCAATGCCAGCTCCAAGTCGAAAGGATCTTCCCTGTCCGTGGACTCACTGCCCGACGATGTTTCGGAAGTCGAGCCAACTGGCAAGCACAACCAATCTAAGAAATGATTGCTTAAATTGAACATTAACATATTCTCTTTCACTAATTAAGAAGAAATTAGTTTTTTAAAAATTCAATAAAAATTGTAAATTGAAGTTTTGTGCAATTAAAAATCGTTTATTTATTTTCAATATGTTTTAGCTTCACATTATATATATATCTATATATACAAGTATATTTTACTTTGCCAGGCCTATAGATGACCAAAGTTTGTTGAGAAGATATTTGGCGATGCCATCAATTAAGGCTTGTGACGAACTCTTAGCCAAATTAGTTGCATCTGACTTGACCTTATTGGGAATCCAATCTGCCCTGAAGAAATCCCTAAAGCCAGCTCCTTGCTTAGGCACACCTTCTACGAGCTCAATCTTAGACTCAAAATTATCAACGCCAGCATTTAATTCAGTCTCCTCTGCGATATCCGAATGCTCTTGACCCCTATACTTCTTGTACATCTCAACCACTTCGTAGGCAATCTGCAGTCGGGTACTAGGATTTGTAGTTTGCGTGCTCAAATTATGGAGTTGCTGGAGCCTCTGGCGATCCCAATTAATACTCCCCGCATTTCCAGTGCTCAACAGGCAAATGAGTACAGCCAGGACACAGCTATTACAAAGGAGATTATTTAATATTTTTAATTTCAAATAACTTATTTCATAAATACCTTAGTCGGATGATTACGCAGCCCATGTTCACTTAAGTTGTCTTAAGAGTTTGCCAACGAAGTGCTATTGAAAGCGCGAACCGCGCCGCTTTTATACGCTTTCTGATCATATATATTATCTATACAAATAAAACGATTTCTTCGAATTCAAGTTTCTTGATAACTTCTTGAAAATAATAAAATTTATTATATAAAATTATGAAATTATTATTCAATTGATAATAGGTTGACTTTATATAAAAAACAAGAAAGGAAGCTAACTTCGGCACGCCGAAGTTTATATACCCTTGCAGATAGAACTTCTATGAATAGGAATCCATACAATATAAATTATATATATTTGTGTTAAAAAACAATGAAGTAATACCTGCTTTCATTTCATTCACCTATACATATTATATTTGCAGTTTTACATTCACAGATTTGCATTTTTCCTCTACATCAAACGATCGTTTGTATGGCACCTATATGATATAGTCGTCCGATTTTTATGAAATTTGCCACAAAATTTAAGACTTATGTAAAATGGCTATACCTCAAATTTGATGAAAATCAGCTGAAAACTAAAAAAGTTATAAATTTAATTGTATTAATTTCTCGATCGTTCCTATGGGAGCTATATGATATAGTAATCCGATTTTCATAAAATTTTACACAAAATTTTAGAATAATATGAAATGGCTATATTTCAAATTTGATTAAATTCTGTTGAAAACTAAAAATGTTATCGCCACCGCGATTGTCAGTCTTCCGACAACAGCCACCGCCATTCTCATTCCTCTCAAATTTCTCGATCGTTCCTATGGGAGCTATATGATATATTAGTCCGATTTTCATAAAATTTTACACAAAATTGTAGAATAATATGAAACGGCTATATCTCAAATTTGATGAAAATCTGTTGAAAACTGAAAATGTTATACTTATTAATTGAATTAATTTCTCGATCGTTCCTATGGGAGCTATATGATATAGTCGTCCGATTTTTATAAAATTTTACACAAAATTGTAGAATAATATGAAATGGCTATATCTCAAATTTGATTAAATTCTGTTGAAAACTAAAAATTTTATAATTTTTTTTGTAAAACTTTTCCGATCATTCCTATGACAGCTATATGATATAGTCGTCCGATCCGGCCCGTTCCGACATATATACGAGTGAGAGTATATAGAAGACTAACTGCAAAGTTTCATTCAGATAGCTTCAAAACTGAGAGACTAGTTTGCGTAGAAACGGACAGACGGACAGACGGACAGACGGACATGGCTAGATCGACTCGGCTGTTGATCCTGATCAAGAATATATATACTTTATATAGTCGGAGGTGCCTCCTTCACTGCGTTGCAAACTTCTGACTGAAATTATAATACCCTGCAAGGGTATAAAAAGGAAATCTGAGCTAAAGAATATTATAGATTTGTATAACCTTGGAGAGCATTGTAATTAAAGTCAGAAGCTTGCAATACAGTGATGGCGACGTTTAAAAAATATATTCATATATTTTTGGTTTAGTTATTTTTGATTGCACTTTCGAACCCATGATCCCAAGGCCAACTCCAAGTGTATACAAACTTCAGCTTTATTTCTAGCTTGTATTCAATTGCTGACATAAATCCCTGATATCTTTGGACATTTTAATTTAAAACAAATCTTCAAGTCATTCGATTTATTTTAGACTGAATAAGAGTCTTAATTTTGTATTTTTCCTTTTTACCTCCAGAATATGAATTATTTTAATTAGACAATGAAAATATAGTGTAGTCAGTAATGCTTAGTAGATTCCATATGCCTTTCCTAAATTACATATATTATTCTTAATATACAATTCTCTTAGCTGTATGTATATATCTCTTTCTAGACAAAAAGGATGTTTATAAGTTTAATTTTCTTTTCCTCCTCCTGCTACTTGCAACTCCTTCTCTACTTCCCTACAACGCCTACACTTTGAACTAGCAAGTTCATCAGATAGGTGACTATTCCTTCCACCAATGTCTTGGATGAAGTTTTGAAAAAATTCTGGGCATTTTGCCACACTTCATCGGGAATTTGGCCGGTCGCGCCCTTGATGCTCTCCCAGAAAGCACCGCCCTGCCTTGGCACACCGTCAACGATCACAACCTTTGACTCGAAGTCCCGAACTCTGTTGTTCAGCGTCTTCTCCACATTGACCCCCGCTGCAGCCCGGCCCCTATATCTTTTGTAGATCTGAACGGCTTCGTGGGTGATCCTTAGCTGGGTGTTCGAGTTGTTCGCCCGCTTACTTAGGACTTGGAGTTGCTGCAGCCTCTGGCGATCTTGATCCCTAGTCTGGGCACCTTCACAGCTCGCCAGGCAGAAGAGCACAGCCAGGACACAGCTGAAATTGATGATTTGTAAATATATTTTAAAAATTAAATGGATTTTCCATATATTATTACCATAGGCGGATTGCAAATTTCATTTTCACTCAATTTTTTCAAAAGTCTCTCAATGCAGTGATTGTGAAAGCCGGCAAAGCATCCCTTATAAAGGCAGCTTACCATGACAGTGAAATAATCAATACAACTCTAATCAATTAGTAGATAATCCGTGGTTCTTGGAATCCGAGATTCTTGAGGGCAATAAAACCGACAATCTCAATCCCGTATCGCCAAAGCTCGCAATTTCTAAGTAACATTTAATAAGTTGATAATTTCCCGTTTCTGCGAACTCCCAGGTCATGTCTGTGTTTTTCTGAATGAATGCATGAATTTATAAATATTAATACAAATTTATAATTAGGCATGTGCACATTTTGTAGTCTAAGATAACGTTTGACTTTATAAATGCGGAAGGGAAAGAAATATTTTATTAGGCTTCGAATGTATGTCTGTAAAAAGTACAAAAAATAATATTCTTTTAATGAAATATGTGTATTTTTAGTTCTATTTTGATTCTGATTGTTCTGAAAATATTTGAATTGAGCGGCATAAAGCAGTTGGTGCTGCCACTTGCTGGACACGAGCACCAGGTGGCGCTGAAAACTCGTCGATATAAGCAGTGCAAAATCACAGACATGAACCAAGTTCAGCTCAGCCCTGTTCTTAACGGTTTAGAATATAATTTAAAATATTGTTTAAATAATTTTTAACAAGTGATTTGTTTCCTAACAAGATTCTATTATTACATTCTAATTACTGTCATTCGCATTAAGATTTCCAAACGCGAAAATCGCGTTTTTATACCCAAATAAGGAGATGAAATAACACTGAAAAAAAATGTATTAAAATAAAACAACATTTGATGTCTTTTTGTTTTGAATATCAATATATTTATCGATTCCCTCATATTATCGAGTGTCTTGACACATATTTGTAGTGATACATCCAATATAATGGTAACTTCCCTTGCGGAAATACATTTAATGCTTTTGTTAGACACTGAGATGTTGAAAAGGTAAAGTTGTACGAAGTTTTTTGGTTGTAGGAATACCGAATATCCCCTTGTGGGTCTGTATAGAGTATACGTGTATATGTTGTCTATCGTGTATAGTTGTATAATAATACGAATACCATTACCATATATAACTATAGTATTTATTTATGCCTCTGCAGGTATGCAGCAATATCGCCCCTACTGGTTCCGTCTATATCCTATATTGCATTGCGCCTGCATGGGCAACATTCACGCACTCACTCACGCCACCTAAACTCTGTTAATTTATTTTGATTAACTCCATATCTTTAATACCTGATCATTACGGTTTTTAGTTTTTTTAATTAGCTATAATTGCGGAGATGTCACATATATGTATATTATGTTTCGAATGATATCCCTTCTCATTATGCATATTCCGCAAAACACGTTTAGATTCAAATTTAATGATCAACATTTAACTACGTAAACAACAGAACACATTGCCCAGGCTTAACCGTAAATGAAAACATGATAATTCACTTTATAGTGCGGATTTTTGCATAATTAATTTGCTAATTTTCCAACGTTCAATTATCTATTTTGATTTATTTAATACAAATGTTTGTCCTGCTTTTGCAGTTTATGTGTTTTTTGTGGTTTTTTGGAAAGACTAGTGTTAAACATATGTCTGTCTGTCTGTGTGATGTGAGAAACGCTGGGGGAGGCAGGCGGACTCTAACATGTATATAATATATCTATTTAAAATAGTTTGGAAACATTGAAGTTAGAATGGGGGGGGGCAGGGGGGAAATTAACCAGCAATCGGACGCCGTGAAGCATATAATAGACAGGCAAACAATCGCTCAACTAATTTATGCACTCAATTGCACTCGCATTGATAGGCTGCGGCTTTTCGAGTCTGTTTCTGATTTACTAGCATTCGCATATGTATGTATGTCCTGCCAGCATTATCTTCGGTGTATCGGTGGGTGTGTTAGTATAGTTGGAGAAGGGGAGAAGGACCTTCCGCTCTGCCAGTGCCTGTCCTGACGATTTAGTGTACAAATTCTTTTAAATCTCTCCCATTGAGGTGGGCTTGTACACAAAACAGTTTCCCCATCGAGGAATATTGGAATAACATAAATGGAAATTGTGGATTTTCTAGCTCTCGTAAAAAGTTGTAAGCTCGTCTAGGTTTTCCTTTTGGTCTCTTGTGTGACTGAGTGAGTGTTCGGATTGGGGGCTATAAAGCTACACGGTATGTACAACAACGAATAAATACATGTTTACGCACAACAATCACACACATGTCGCGTCTAAACTTATTGAAATAGACACCAGATTTGCATTTGCTTGTGGCTTGCAGAGGACTTAAAGCTGAACGTTTCGATACACACATAAAGCAATCGCTTGTCACTAAAACTAACAAGTAGTTAAAGGTTAAAAGAGAAAATTAACAATAAAAAACAGTTGGCTAAGTAGTTCTAGGATATGGTCTCCGTCTCAGCGAATTGGTGTTGTCTTAAAAGGTGTTCAGAGTCCTCGCATTTGTTTACATCGATTGGGAATAATTCCCTCATATTGTCTAACTAGGTAAGTAATACATCTAGGTGTGGGGTTTACCAAATATAGTTTGATACACATCGGTAATTAGTTTAATAACATTTTGCTAATCGACCAGTTCTTGTATGTGTTAGATCTAAAATATATAAAGCAGAGGCAATGTCAAGCCAAACCAAAGATTTATCATTATATTCTCAGCACCGCTCAGCTGCAGTTGTTTTGTTTCGGTTATATTTTTCTTGTCCTCTATGTATATATATGTATATATAAATATGTATAATATTAGGCTCAGTTTGGTTGTAGTTCATACAAATTACACAAAGTTAGGTTTGATTTACTTTCCATTTGATATTTGTTCATCGTTAGCCACTATCAATAAATATCGTGTATTCTGTATTTTGTAGTTTGTATTGTAGTTTGTAGTTTTGTATCTTGTAGGTTTTACTTTGTATTCATCTCAAAAGTTCATTAAAATAAATGCCTTTTAGTTTGTTTGCGGGCACTTTAGCGCCGAAGAGTATTCGAGTGTTTGTATTTGATAATGTAGTGTAAATAGTTCCTTGTTCAGTTGGTGGTGGGTGGTGGGTGGTGGTGGGGTCTGGGCGTAGTTAGTTAGTGGGTTAGTTCCTTGATTAGTTTGTCTTGGCTTGCCTTTGAGTGTTCAAGAGTGTTGGCTAGAGGGGCCGGAAAGAGAGGTTTTGTTGCCGAAGCCACGCGCTCCGCAGTGGCTCCGAGAAGTTTTTTACGGAAAAATTCTAAATCACTCCGGAATGACAGAAACTCGCATGCGAATTGAGCTCACAGCCACATGTACACTGGCGAAAGGTCGTCCTAGGTCCTGCGCCCACGTAGGCTGCCGCTCGTATTGGTATTGGTATTGCTGTTAGTTTTTGGGCCCTCTCAAATGACACTCATGCGACGCCTGCCATTTCCGGTGCCCTCGGCTCAGTTGGCGTTGGCCAGCGTCTCGTGACACACCTCCATGTAGTCCGGGTCGTGCATGATGCCCTTTATCATGTCCTTGAGCATTGTGTAGCGTGGAAATATCGGATACATCTTTGAGCTGCCGTACTCTTCCTGCGGGGTCACACAAAAGGTTCAAAGTTACAATGAAAAGTAGTTCCCCCAGGCCGATTCCCATTCACATATGTACATACCTTCAGCACCCGGATGAGGTGCCGCAGGCCCAGATACTTTTTCAGCAAGCGGTACAAGTCGTTTATCAGCTGCGTATTCTCGTGCTCGATTTGGGCCGTTGTCATATCTGTGTGCGAATGGGGTCAAGGAGCTTACATTTTAATTCATTTACAATTTATTTTCATCAGATTTACTCACGTTCTAATCGCTCCATGCGCTCCCGACGCTCGGCCGCCTCCTCGGCCAATCGGGCGGAGGTCTTGACCCCCTCGCCGGACTTCTGGGTCTTCTCCATGATCGAGCAGGCGCGCATCACATAGGAGGGCACAGTCTCCTGCTTCTCCTGGCGCGGTATGTCCACCAGGGTCCAGTACTGGGTCTCCAGCCGAATGACTTCCTGTGAACACAATCGAAAAATACAATTAAAAGTTGAGGTTTACTCTCTTGACTTCTATTTGCAAACCTTTATCATCAGCTTGAGCATGGGATAGCGCTGGAAGATGTTGCGCTGGCTCTTGGAGTCACCATACTTGTTCATTAGGTTAATTAGCGCCTTCTTGGCCGTCTCGTAGGACTCCTCGAGTCGCAGGCGCAGGGAGCGCAGCCTCTCATTGGTCTCGATCACCTCGTCCCGCGTCATGCCGCTGGGCGCTCCCTCGTCCTTCACATCCTGGACGATCCGGCGCACACTCTGCGTGAACTTGCCCACAAAGTTTGTGGTTGCTGAATGGGTGAAAATATAAAAATAATAAAAATTAAACAGTTTTCATTGTACGGAAATTGCACGAAACACTGTCATTCATTGTTCGAAATGTCAGTAGATACGCGCATTAACCCTTATAATTAATCTGCGATTCATGCGGAAATTGTTCGGCTACGGAAAAGCCAAACTATTATGCCATGATGAAATCGCATCGAAAAGCGTTAAAAATACACAAATATTCTCTTTTTTCATTTTACTTTTCACAAGTTCTATGCGGGACTGGGGCTTGAACCCGCGACTTCAGGGCGACGGCCGACTGCGCTACCCTCTGCGCCACGGCAAGCATCAAAACAAAGGTGTCTATTGTTCACTTTCGTTGCGGCGTTCATAGGGCATTCTATTTTTAGTCAGAAGCTTGTAACTCGTGAAGGAGTTATTTCCGACCCTATAAATTTTATTTATTATTGATCAGCATTAATAACCAAGTCGATCTATTTCAGTCGAAATATAAAATTTCAAAATTTTTTCAAAATTTCAAAATTTTATAAGGAGTTACATCATTAAAATTGTCAAAAATTTTAATATTTCTAAATGTTAAATTAAGTATGCAGATTTATTAATATAATAAAAACTAACATAGCAAGGCATGCCGAATTGAAATTAAAGACTTATTAGCTTTCTTATGAGGATTTAAAATTATGAATTCTCGAAAAAAATGTCTTATAAAAGTAACGATAAATATTGATTCAAAGAATGTTAATATTTTAATCTTAGTTAAGATAAATTTCCAATTTTATCTTATAATTAAATTGCAAACTGCAAGGGTTCCCGAAATTAGGGTTATTTTCTGCTGTTTTAAGTTAAACTATTGGTTTAACCCTATGTAAAAATTAACCTTCCACCCCTAACCAATTAAGCTAATTTTCTTTTTTCTTATCCCAATATTAAACAGATTTAATTTAAATGTTAAAAATGCCTAATATGTAATAAAAATATATAAACTTCAGCTTCCAGAATATAGTACTAATAATTGCGAGGGTGTACCCAACAGTATTATAATTATTATTATTTTTTCGTTTTTAATTTGCAGGTTATATCTACTCTTTAATACATATTTCTTAAAGTATTTTTGTACATTTTTGGCAATCACTGTCAGTTTTGAATTTAACTGACCACGCCTTCAGTTTGCAATAAAAACTCTGATTAATTCACTCCGAATAATTTACTCAAGTTGGAAAATTTGTAAGTCCTATTGGTTTGGCTATTTAAAATTTTCATTTAAGCGAAACAACGTTTCTACATTTGCATTTTTATTGGCCAATGAGCCAGCGACACACCCTCATTTTAACAACGCTAATAATTCTGACCCATTAATGATTGGGAAAACTCAGCAATCGTTTGAATCGCTCACGGTTTTATGGACGGCAATTCGTTGAGATGGCGAAAAGTGCAATTAGCATTTGTCATTGTCAGTCCGTTTTTGAGTCCGTAAATTCATGTAAAACGTGACATATTTCAGGCCATGATTTGGGCCGTGCTCCCGCTCCTGGCTGCCTGATTAGGAGGTCGCGAATTAGGCCGCTTTGCATCCAAAGCTCCAACCATTCCCAATTAGCAGCCCGTCCATCTGTGAATTCTGACAGAGACATTCCTCTGTCAGGGGATGTGATTCATTCCGGGACAAAGACCGCGCCTTGTGGCTGCATCTAAGCTCTGGGAAGCTGCAATGCCAAGAGATAGTAGCTTCATTCTGGCCAAAGACTTTGCCCGATGACGGAGATCGTGACGTACTGAAGAGACTTTGGTCAAACCCGCAGATACTATGTATAATGGGTATGTGGGATCCAATGTATATTTATTTATGGGGAGCTAAGAGAGGGAAAATGAAGAGCGGCAATGTATGGTCGGATCTCTCTTCGCTTTTGCAAAGCTCCAAGTTTATAAAGTTGTACCCAAGAGAGATCTGCTCAGTGTAAACTCAAGAATCCGAAGGCAAGCATTGCCGACGCCGAGATCCGAGAAAAAAACATAAAAAACAAAGCAAAAAAATAAAAGAAAATTAAAATAAAAACGAGTAAACGTGAGCGCACCATAAATGACAAGCACAAACAAAGAGCTAAGCAAATTATATACCAAAGTACATACAAAAGAATATATATACATATATGAGCACAAGTGAGACGCGCCAAAAAGAGTCGGGTATAAGCATAAAGCCAATTGAATTGCAATTTTATTGGGTTTAATTGCTAAAACAAAAACCAACCAAGAGAGGACCATAAAAGCTATATACGAAATCTGTGCAAAAGTGAAAATATCGGCGAGGGCGAGTGAGATAGCGAGTGACAGCAAGAGATAGCACTGCAGATATAGCCACCATATAGGTAAGTCTCCAACATCTGCGGATTCTTCTGCCGGAACTTACTTACTCTCTGTCGGGCTTATCGGCTGAGGCATGAGATTGGTCGGTAGCCCCTATATCCATTTAATTTTAAAGGATCCCCATTGGATTACTCATTTGACCAGTTTATGGATTTATATATCTGTTGGCCTTGCTTGCGCTTTTTGCCAATGCAACAAATTTCCATATAAAAATCGCAATTAATCCATGTTTGTGTGTGTGTTTTTTATGCTTCTCATTTCGCTCTTGCCTGCAGTATGTTATTTATTATTTACTCTGTGTTTTTTCTGCTGATTTCCATACAATTTGATAGATTTTGATAGGAATTTTTTCAAGTCAATCTCTGTAATGTATTAATACATTTCTGATAACAATGATTTAAGCTGATAAACTTAATAGGAATTGTGCTCGAAGATAACCTGCGACTCGTTCTTCCAAAGAATTGTTTAATTACAGAAATTCATCTATAAATTCAATAATTTAAATATATAATTCAAGGAATAGAAATTAGTGGGAAATTGTATTAAAAACAAAACTTACGACATTGTTTCTAAAGATTATATAATTTTTAGTTGAAAAAATGATAAAGGAAATACGTTTTGTTGTTTAAATTTGTAAGTTCGTTTGTTGTATATACAGATACTGAACAGAAAATCACCTTTAACAGATAAGTAATTTAATTTAAATCTACGCCTGAGGGCCATTGTCATTGATCAGAACAGCCGCTCGTGTGGAATAAATGTACAAACTTGTAGCCAGTTAAACTTGTTTCGCGAAGTGCAGAGCTCAGCTTCCACTTAAAACTGGAATTGTCCCAGTTGCACTGGCAATCCCAGTCCCAGTCCCAGACTGAGTCCCTGTCCCAAAGGATCCTTACCTATATGTAGAGGACCCGCTATAAATAAGCCGTTTGCTCTGGTTCACTTGCTGCCGAACTGTCAGCCTTTCCCCCTAATACATCAGTGTGCCTTCCGGAGAGAGAGAGAGAGCTGGGCGGGATGGGGATGAGGGTGGCAGGTGGGACTGGGAACTGGCAACTGAGAACTGGGTACAGGTGGGTGTGCTTGTCTCCGGGTCTCTCTGCGACCTTCCCGCACCCATTTCCACACTGATATCAGGCCAGAGATTGCTCCGACTGCGGAGAGGCGACTAATGAGCAAAACGGCTTTTGTTTGCCTTCGGCTTCACGTTTCCCGCTCTTTCGGTTCCAGCTAAGCAGAGTACCTGCGTAAACCGGTTGTTGCTAATTTGGCAAAAACACAAATACACAAAAAGCATCAAAAACCGTCGACATATTGTACGCGACTACATGTGTTTGGTTGCCCTGGGTGCCTGGGTGTGGGCCAGCTGCTGTTTGTCTTTTGGCTTTTTGGGCTGAAAGCGAAGAGCACATCATTTGGCCAACAACAAACGAAACGTGTCGTTGCCACGCATTGTCTTTATTGGAGCGGGCCCCGAGAAGTATGAGTACGAGTATCTGACAGATACTTCTCGCCCCGCACATAATTAAAGCTCTGCACGTGTGTATGTTTATGCTAGCTGGTTGCCCTTTTGGTCCACAAAAAATATTTCAAGTTCAACCTTTTGGGTCTTGTTCTTTTTTTAGTTGTGGAATCCCCCGGCGTTCCGCTTTTTGTTTACACTATGTTTGTACTTGAGCCCCTATTTGCCTCGGTTTCGAATCTTTCGCATTTAATTTGCCATTTTTTTTGTTGTTGTTTACACACACGCAAGGCTGCTTGAATTTTTTAGCCTTTACAATTAACTTAGCTCTGTGGTTTTTATTTGTTTTCCATTTAAGTATTCCTCAGACCCGTGACGTAGCCGTAGTCGAGTTCTTATCGGTCGTAGACACTGGAAATGCCAATATTTTTGAATTTCCAGAGGAATTAGTCATTGCTACAGCCTGGTGAATCTTAAGTGCCAGTAACTTGACCATCATTGAGGCAGCTTCAAGGGAGAGGCTATTAGTAGAGAGGACCAGGCTATTAGTAGAGTGAATAATCGCCCGGCAAATGTTGCACTTGAAATCTCATGCAATTTAATTGCAGGTTTGCCAGGCTAAAATTAAGTTCCCTAAACCACAGACACGTGTCGAGTTGATTTGTGGTAATCACACTTGAATATTTCCCACGATTATTGTGGTTTCAAGCTCCTACTCACTACTCACTACTCACCCTCAATGAAAGCATAATTTCTATAAAACGCGGAAGCTAGGAAATTCCGTTTAATAGTCATAGAGTTTTATGTACTCTGAGATCACGAATAGGTTCTCAAGTCGCAATTTGCATTACAACTCGAGTTGCATGGAAGGAGCAAACCAGTTGGAGACTGTTGGCATGACATAATCAATTTGAAAACCAGTTCAATACTTTTTAAGTCCCACTTTGATTGGCGTTAAACTATTGTTTAATATCAATTGCTGCACAAAAACAAGATACTCTCCGCCTTTAGGTGCTTATCAAAAGTGGCAATTAAATGTAAAGCACCTCCCGGGGGCTCTCTTAACGAGAGCACTTTGATCCAAACATATCAATAAATGGCTATAATTAAAACGACAGATTAATCGATTTCATTTGCATGGGAATCGGATAAAGAGATGAAGTGACGTCAATACGTCATTAAGTCGAACGGGTTGCCATTAGAATTCCATGATTTATGCTATTGTTCTGCAAAAAATTGGTGTTTCATCTCCCAATTCAACCTGAGAATCCCCGTCTATACTCATTATTTTTTATTCCTCTTCCAACTTTTCACCTCAAGTAGCAGCTTCTTATTTGTATAATTATGGTATCATTGATCAGAGGGTATAACCACTAATGGCCAAGCAAGCAATACCGGGTCCAATTATAATTAAAATAGCATGTACCACTTAAGAGATCTGAGATCAGAGGCAGCGATTTATATTTCCGCTAGCTAATGAGCATAAGAAATAACACTTACTGATGCCGGTTTATTTACGAGTTCAGGGTCCCCAAAGCCCAAGGAGATCCGACTAATTTTGGTCACGCTTAGTGGCCCAGAATGGTTTCGTAATGACTTCAAGCCATAAATATGTCACGCGCATGAGATCATTCATTAGTCGTCATCAGAGGGTGTCAAAAATTCAGTCATCTTAAGAAGATGTGCCAAGAACAATAGAAGTAGGAGTGGTTAGCTACTGGCTGGGGATTACACTGAGGGAAACGCAACGGTATTTAAATTTGGGAATAAAATGTATGCATTACTTATGAGTGGGAAGTAAGTTTTACTTGAAAATTAATAAGTACTAAATGAATTTACCAGGAATTTCTTATATAAATTGTATTCTTTTTACTGCAAATATTCACCCTTTTTCTGTATTTTCTTTCAGTAATTTAGTTAAACTAATTAGCCACAAATCTGCTGAATTTAAGCTTTGACCAAAGTGCTTCTCTGAAACTCTACCAACTTTACTGTAACTTCCAATTTAAGATTTTAGACTTAAGTTATTTCGACATCTGCATGTATACCCGTCAGTCATGCTTAACCATAATTACCATATCCCCATTGTCTGCATTGGGAATCCTGATGGCTAATCACCTTAAATTAAGCAGAATTTTAAATGAATCATTGGTTGAGGTTTCAATTTATTTATTAAGCATTTTCGGCAACGCTTTTTACCTGCCTGCTACAAATATCGGGATGGCTTGTCACACTCGATTAGTGACCTTTCCGCCTCCTGACTCGAATTTGTATGCCAAGGGCGTGGCCGCTGCCCCACCCATCAATAAGCCAAACTAAGCGTCTCGACCTCGCTAATCCTAGTGGCACGTGCTTACTACCACTCCCCATTAGCCAGCCCAATCTCCATTCCACCCAGCTCCCCATCGAATCCCACTTCTCTAGCCCAGAGACCGTCAAGTTTGCTCAGCGTGTTTTAATTAGTTGGCATTGGCAAGGACTAGCTTCGCAGCTTCTGAACTCCCAAGCTCCGCTGACAGGGCAGCCCAAAACGCTGTCTGTTTGACTAATTGGCCGCATTTTGGGGGCGCATGTCTGTGGGCTTAGTTGCCCCTTTCCTCGAACACACGCCTCGCCTCAACGCCAACATCAATCATCAGTAATGCGGATATTTTGACACGCTTCCGATTTATTGAAATCGTGCAACGTGTCGCTGCATTTACAGGTGGGTTGCGTCACCCCACCTACTTTTGGCCTGGCTCACGGCTCAAACAAGGTGCGGGTGGAGGTGACAATGTCGCGGATTAGTCACCTCTTGTTTGCATAGATGAATGCCAAACATTAAAGTAAATGGTGCCGCTCTATAGTCCAATTATGGCAACGGGGGGAAATTCAGAAAAGCTGAGTAAATGTTTTCAAGCTAAACGAACTTAAAGATACATTTACATCGAAGGGAAAGTCACTCGCTACCCGAGTAAATATGCAGGCATAAAAACTAACCCCACGTGGACTTAATCCGTATCTTTCGTATTCAAATACCAAGTCAGGAAACCTTTAGCCCGCCACTACTTATCTTATCGTCAGAAATCGACGGACATTCATGACCACAAGTCGGCCAGAGCACCTCAATGTTTGTTGGGCTAAAGTTTGCGGTCATCTGACATTTGTTTCGGGAACAGAGACTAAGTAAGCTGAGGGCCAGACCGAATTATTCGCTTTCATCTAAATAGCTCAATCAATAAGCAGCCACAATTCCAGGATATTGCTGGCCAGGGCCACACTCGGACACTGATTTCCCCCCATAAATTCCAGGGCCCAAATGGCAGCTAAAGTTTCAGGTCCGAATGCCAATTTGTTTGTTGTCAAATTGAATTGAAGCTTTGAATTGAATTAATATTTGAAAATTTCCAGGCAGTCGTCAGGAAGTGGAAGAAGGGATTGGGGGCCTCCTCACTTTTTATGAGCAAATTTAATATGCACTACGGGGCAATGCCATAAAGCCACTTAATATTTAATGTATGAGTGTTTGGGCCACACTCACAACGAAGGAGGACGAGGAGC